TGCTTGTGAGTAGTCTAGACCCATGTATCTTCCCTTCTCCTTTTGCTTCCTAATTCCAACACACATGTATGATAGCAAAGATGAAAGCAAGAAATGCTTAAGTTTGAACTTTGTAATTGATAGGAGGTGTCTTAAACAATGAAAAACAGTGGTGTTTAAACACAGAGACGCAACGAAGTAAGTTAATTGAAGTTTGTTTACAAGCAAACAATATTACACAGAAAGGTTAGCAAAATTTACAAGTAACACATTATGCTGACTTCAGTGGTTTTACGTGCCAATACCAAGATATGATTATAAGACACGCCATAGATGACGACAATGGGAATTTCAGCCACTTGTGGTTCTTTAACGTGCACTACAAAACAAAACTTAGAATATGCCCTATCTACAATGTAGCATGAATTTAGAGTACAGGATGCCATTAACGTAAGTAGTACAGACCATTAACAATCTTTCAGCGGCTTGATGTAACCAACGTTGGATTTACAGAGCGACCACTTAGACGTAGACAGCTATTAAAACGCGGCAAGCGTAAAATTTTTTTCGTTGATCACTTTTCAATTGTAATACTTCACAACTCTTTATGCAGTGGTCGCTTAGTGTGCGGGTGCTTTTGTATGTCTGAGTCATTTTCAGGTGTCAAAGCTGCGCTCCTACTTTTATTGCATATGCACGCGTATATATATGTTATCCACGCTCTGCTCTTTCGTCGTAGGCCTCAGAGTTGCAATTGCAAGCAAGGACGGTCATTTTACCTGTGTAGTTAACTTCCCTTCCTTCTCTTCATTACCATCTCCCGTTCTCCCCACATTTATATCAAGCCACTTCTCATGAAAGGAATGCGAAGGAAGAGAATTAGGTATTAAGAAAAAAAGAGAGAGAAAACTAAAGAAAGAAAGAATGAAAGAAAGAAAAAAGGAAGGAAGGAAGGAAGGAAGGAAGGAAGGAAGGAAGGAAGGAAGGAAGGAAGGAAGGAAGGAAGGAAGGAAGGAAGGAAGGAAGGAAGGGAGGAAGGAATGGTGTTTTGGTTAGCACAGAGTGCAGACTAAACAAGAACGTGGACAAGCCTGGCCACATTCACGGCCCACGCAGATGCTTATTTGCGTCTGTTCTCTGCTCTATGGACATACTACACGGGGCTGTACGCGCTCGTGGGCGTAAAAAGAGCGGTGAATTGCAAAGTATGCGGCCCTCCGAAAGACCGCGTTGAATTGCAAAACAGGGCGGTCTTTCGGAGGAGCTGTCGTGCATCGTCAGTGACCACCCCATCTCGTGGCTTGTACACTTAGTGGCAGTCGATTGCTTTCATGAACGCCAGCGTCCATCCCAGTTGCGAATTGTGAAACATAAGAGGTGGAGACAGCCTTACGGGGCTCCTTGGAACGTTCAATGAGATTCTTCGCGTTCTTTTTCAGACATTCAAATTTACGTGAAGCGTTGGCTGTGTACGGAGCGACAGGCAGACGACAGGCAGAAAAAAGCAGTTAGTGCACTGGGAAACTGGCGCGGAAATTAAGAACTATAGTAACGTTAAAGCAGGGAAACTGCGTGAGTGAGTGAGTGAGTGAGTGAGTGAGTGAGTGTGAATGAGTAGGTGAGTAATCGAAGAAATATGTATGGGAGTGAGTGAGTGAATCAGTAAGTGAATAGGGGAAAGAGTGAGTCAGTGAGTAGGTGTTTCAGTGAATCAGTAGGTAATTAAGTGTATGAATGAATGGGTGAGTGAACACGTTTGAGAATGAGTGAGTGAGTCAGTCGGGGAGTAAGCGAGTGAGTAAGTGTTTAAGTGAGCCAATGAGTGTGTGAGCGGGTGAGTGAGTGACTGAAAAAGTGAATGCATTAAGTGAGTAGGCGTGTAAGATAATTAGGAGCTCAGTGAGTGAGTGAGTGAGTGGGTGAGGAGGTAAGAGAGTCAGTCGGTGTGAGAGTAGGTGAGGAAGGTAGTGAGTGATAAAGTAAAGTTGGTGTGTGATTCAATCAGAGCGTGGCATAGTGTGCCTAGACGGGACGGAAAGCTACAAGCACCACACATGCACAGCGCTGCGCTTCTTCTGACTTTCTGTCCCATCTAGGCACGCTCTTCCAAGCTCACAGTATGCACCAAGTGGCCTGCCAACAATCAGTGTTAAGTAAATCAGTTAATGAGTGAATGAATGAGTGAGCGAACCAGGGGAGACATATGGATCACTCTGGTTCAAATTTATACGGTTCACTTTTCAGCACTTCGTCAGATTTTTTTCCGCCCTGTCTTGAAATCGGGCTTTCGCATCACAAAATTCAGATTGTCATAGTTCACACATGTCTGACATCGAGCATTGTCGCAACAACAAGAAGAGGACAACAATGAAGCAAGCACAGTGGGAAAAGTAACACGCACAACGTCATCTGGAATCGGAATGTAACTGCGGGATGGCTCAAACACAGTTGTGAAATATGAAACGCTAGCGTTTTCTACTCTCGAACACCATACTTACGTAAATTCTTTTTGTAACAATTTCGCCTACTGTTGTCATCATCATCACCATCATCATCATCATCGTCGTCATCGGCGTCGTCGTCATCATCATCATTGCAATAATCACTCTCCTTAATGTCAACATTGTATCTGTAGAAGTTTCCGGAAATATAATGAAAGCTCTTCAATTTAAAAAGTTCCCGGCGCCGGCAAAAATGTCTGATGTAGTGAAATTATTGAGAGTATAGGAAATTAATGAACATTTGTTTACTACGTCAGCGCTTGTTAATTTTCTTGTCGAACGCCTGAATCCTGTACTTCGTTTGCATAAAAACAGTGCAAAAGTCGTGATTTTTGAGATCCTGCATGCGACTTCGTTCATAATGTAACCACGGCAGGAAACTGTTGTGTTTAATTAGCCTAAAAATTTCTCTGCACTCGACCTTTATTACAGGCTGCTTCGATAACTACGTGCACTTTATGATAGTTATTTCGAAGACAAAATGGCTGGCACATGACTGATTGTACATCACAATGTAGCAGACGAGCTTTATGCCGGCAAGCTGACGGCGCCTCAGAGTTATTCAGCAGTTTCCCCTCGTGCGTGAGTTTTATGACTTTTCGGGTGCATTGCATCGAGTTAAGACGAATCTGCTCAGTGCCAGATCCGGTCGTAAATTGTGGTAACTAACTGTGGTAACTGTGGTAAAAACGAACTTAAACCGTGGTAACTAACTGCTGTAACAAACTGCGGTAACTGCGGAAACAAACCACGGCAACTAACTGATAAAGACCGGAAAAAGTGCGCACATCGCTGCCTCGTTTCGGTTGTCTCCGAACGCCGTTTTCGGTCTTTTGCATCACCTATTTTCGCGCTTCATCTTCGCCACGCTCCGAAGTTTGTCCGAATTAAACGGGTCGCAGCCAAAATGACAGAATTGAGGGTTTGATGCCATTAAGTGATACACACGGTAGCTGGGACTAGAAGACATGTCCGAGTTGTCTGACGTTGCGAGTGTTGATTTAACAAACAGTGAGGCCAACAGTTTCTCATTCTCTGACCTAGAAACGTCGGTTTTTTTAGCATAGCAGGGGCAATGCTTCAGATAAACTGATGCGGGATTTCTGACGAAAGCCCAAATATTCTGACGTTTCCCGTATTGTAAGGTGCTCCTGTTTATTGTGAATTAATAGGCATTGAGTCACCACGGAATTACGTGAGATGGCTGGAAGGGGAAGATGAAAGCTTTGGAATCAAAAATCCATTCACAGGGTGTTGCGTGCTAGAGAAGACGTTATGAGATGTGGACTCTTCATTCCCTTCTCAGTTGTAGCATTGAAGAAGAGAAGTGCGCTTGTCGAAACGCCGGCTTTAACACAAAACACCGTCTTTACAGATTTTTTTCATCAGATATTAATATGATATTTTGACCCACTCTGAGTGTTTGCTGCATTGTGAATGGTGCCAAGGCTACTCTTGATGAAACCAACTTTTCTTTTCTACGCCGATAGTGTTGCCATGACTGTTTTTAATGCAACCAATGAAACTAAGAAAACTACATCATGAATTGTGTGGTTTTACTTTTTATACTAATTTCGACACCAATAAAAAATTGGAATGAAAATCGTCATACCGCATATAGGGACCAAACCAAAAACTTCAGAATAAAGCGCTCCATGTTCTGGGAGTTCGGCTACTGCGCCACTCGCTTTCGCATCTACCTTATTGGGTCCGTATCTTTGTGTAATTATATTAATGGCCAGCACTGTGTTGTGGCCAGCTGGCGTTACGCAGGACGTGATGCTATAACCAGGAGGGAAATGTCTATAATGTGATTTGATGAAGTGTTTATGGAAGACCGCATTGAATTCCTATACTTTGGCACTATGTGATGGCGTGAGAATGTGATATAGTGACTTAATGACGTGGGCATTTTCTGCATCCCTTTGGTTGGCGTTGACGCCGTGGGTACGGTGATAATCAATTACCGCGTTTGATGAGACATCTACGAGCTTCACCCTAATATGTAGTACAGTAAATGGTGAAGTAATTAATTTAGACGCACATACTCTACAAAATTGATGGTATTGTTTTGTTTTTTGTACAAATGAACTGAGTAAGCTTCATGTGAACAGCAGTTACTGTCTGATGCTGTGCATCTTAATGGCCTTAAGCTATGCCCTTGAGGCTGATGATTTCAGGGAGATCAACTCTACTTTTGCATCTGTATGTGTTTATAGTCCCTTCGTATAATTTGGAGTAATGAATCTCCGGCGCAACTGACAGTGCGGCCAAATGTTTCATCGTGGGTATCAGCGAGTTTGCTTAGGTGACAGAACTAAACAATGAGAACGAATCTCTCACTATGGAATAGCCAGCTGTGATGTTGCAAGGGGTAGTGTTGTCACACTTAATAAAATGTGAAATGTTTTGTTGTCATGTTTAGTAAAATATGAAATGCTCTTGTACGGAGAGTTACTAAAGAATAACTGTATAAGAGTGCTTTCATCAATTGGATGTGGACGCCCTCTTTTTTTGCAGATTGAAATCACGAGCACAGAGCGAAGAGGCACTCTCGCAAGATATCGAAGGGGAGAGCGAACGACTACCTCGGCGGAGGCCAAGTCGCGAAGCCGGTTCGCGCCGCTCGAGCATCGCCGTGTCCGTAGATCGCGCAGAAGCCAAACCGGAGGCTGAAGTAAAGGCGGAAGAGGGTGAAGCCGTGACGAAAGCCGAAGTACAAGCGGCGCAAGCAGTGCGGGACGACCACGCAGGAGGAGGCGGCGGTAGTAGTAGCGCGGAGGACGCGTCCTCGGACCAGGAAGCGCGTACCGGTCACGTTCAGGTGTCGCCTTCAGAGGCGGAGGTCGATAGGGTCGCGTCCGAAGCCGATAGGGATCGCGACGAGCAGCAGGAGGAGGCAGCTAGGGTCGCGGACGGGTACAGCGGGCGCGAGGAGGTGGAACCGGAAGGCGAGTCGCGCGACTACTTCCACGAGGAAGGTCCGTACCGGTTGGAAGTGACCGAGGAAGAAGAAAACGAGGAAAGCGCGTTAGCACAGGGGACAGCAGTCGCGCCCGTAGGTAAGGCAGGCGACGTCATCACCGCGCCGTCCAGCCAGCGCACGTGGAAGACGACCGGTGCTGGCGACCGAGCATCCAGAAGGAGTAAGTACCCCAGCAGCGTAGGACAACCCCAACTCCAGAAGCAACAACAAAAGCAGCAGCTGTCCACGCGGGCGCCTGCAGCGACCAGAGGTGGTGCCAGCGTCAACCAGCCCGTAGCCGGGGGTGTGAAGGCCGCATCGAAGAGTGAAATGAGCGCTCCAGAAAGAGTCACCGGAGGCAAGAGCCGGAAGCAGCCCAAGGGCAAATCTTCGGGAGTCACGGTTCAAGTGGCCAAAGTGCGATTGATTCCGGGCAGGCCTGCGGCCGACGCCGGCACGGCTGAAGCCGAGGCGGAGGTGTCGGAGATCAAAGATTACGTGAGGAGAGGCAGCGAGCGGATCCGAGATGGCGTAGGTGAACGCGACGCCTCCAGGAGGGCGTCCAGGAATGCGGTCATCAACGTCGACACCGCCCGCACTGTGGTCGAGAGCTACAGGAAAAGCGATGCCGCGGCAGCGGCGGCAGCCAAGAAGCCAAAGAGAGAGCGGACCTTCGACGTTGAAGTGTACGTGACAGAATTGGGCGAGACCGGAACGCAGACGGGGGGAGGGTCTGAAGCGTCGGTCAAGGCTGCGAAAGAGCGGGGGTCTTCGTCCAAGGGTGGAGGTGGTGGTAGTGGCGCACGGCGCCGGTCTCGAAGCCACAAGTCGTTGAGCAAGAGTGACACTCGTGGTAGTCTGATCGGTGATAAAGGACACGTAAGGGGTGATAAGGGAACAGACACTACGGACGCGGACGCGAGTAGCCTAGCCGATAGTGCGGGTATAGTTCAAGACGATCCTTCTATGAAAGACGACAGCGAAGCTGAACAGGAACGGTGTGAAATCGAGTCCGGTCTACTAGACAATGAACGACAAATAACGCATACAGGAAATGGTGTTGACGAAAACATTTCTGCGGATGATGAAGGTTCTGGTGACGAAACGAGCATTGAGCACGCTTCTGTTCTGAACGAGGCTCTACACCCTGCTTTGGATAGCGGCTTAGATGGCGATAAAATCAAGCCTTCTGTAACGGAGCTTCAGGGTATGGCGAATACACCCAAGATAGAGGATAATATCGCAAGTACCGAACAGAGCGAAGCTCTCAACGATGCTTGGCAGCCATCGTCGTTAAGCGATGATGACAAAACTGGATACAGCGAAAAAAGTGGCACTGGTGAGGAAGTAGGTGACAATGTGTTGAACGACAACAACGCCTTAAGGACAGCTGCAGCCGACACTCATGATGTTGAAATTATTGAATCAGAAGAGTCAACATTCACATTTGATCGGAGGCAAACAGACGTCGTTGACAATCATGGCTATGCGGCGTCGGAACCGGATGAATCTGAGAAGTGTAATGGTCATGGTGAAACCAGTACTCCAAATCCGAAGGACATGGACTCCATGCTTGTGACTGAACGAAACGACATCGACCAAATTCAAAATAAATCAAAGGGCGTCGACGACGAAGAAACCAACAACCATAGTTCAAGAAACACAGAATTATCGCTGGGTATTGAAAGGGTCGACTCACCCGGAGTGAAACACAAAGAAGAAGACATCCAGAGAAGGGAAATAACTGATGACAAGGGCGCTGTCGCGATTGAGGAGGAAAATGCACTCACAGGCGAAGAAACTACGGTCGACGAGCATCAATCTACTCCTTCGAAAAGTGGACGCCATCTACAGCAAAGCGGTAACGGAGAAGATGAAAGCGGGAATGACGACAGCAACGATACCGACGCTCCCGAAAAATGTACAGCAGATAAGAACTACGTGGAGGCGTTAGAAAACCATGATAATGTTGATGATCAGGCTGAGAATGAAGGTGGCACTAGTTCAAGAGTAAACAACAAAGTAGAAGGAACAACGAAAGTGGACACCGAGAGAAACGTGTCTGAGGTTGGTACTCGACCAGGAACAGCTGCATCAGGAGACGAACGAAACGACTTTCGGAGTGATAAAAGCCATTACGAGCATACAGCCGACGGTGATTCAGGACTTCCTGGCAGCCACGCCAATCTTGAAGATGGAAAAAATAGCGGGAGTTATGTGCAAGCAGAAGCTAAAAGTGCGATTGGTAATAAAGGTGCACAAGTCGCCGAAAGTATTGATCAAAGGGATGATGCGGCAGCAAACTCGGACGAACGGTCTCTTAATGAGACAGACATCGCTAACATCACCAGTGATACTGAAGGAAAGGAGAGCGGAGATACGCATAATGGACAAAGGGAAGTCAGTGTATTATCGGAACCTGATGGAAAGGTGCCAAATGAAGAACAGAATCTTCACGTTGAGTCGAACGAATCTGATACGCTTTCAACAGAAGACAAGGAAGACGCGTTTGGAAGTGAGCTTGTTGCTGGAAAACCAGCAATTGGAGCATCCTCAGTCGCTAGAGGAGACGTGGAAACGAACGATGAAATTACACAAGAGGCAACAAAATACGAGCCTACGGCTCTTACGAATCAAATCAGAAGAACGGATGACCAAAAAAACGACGTCGGTGAAGCTACGGATGAAACTTCTCCTTCGGTGGAAGGAGCAGATAATGCAAAGGATGAGGTCGCACACGAGGAGTCAAGAGCCGAACCTTTTACAAACGGCAAAGGCTTAGAAGACGAGGCTAAAAATGATAGCAACGAACATAGTCAAGATGGAAGCTCGTTTGCAGAAAAAAAGGGAACAGATGAGCAGGACAGCAATGTTGTGCCGGATGCAGTTGAACATAACGAGGTGTCTAAATGTAAAGCGGTAGTGGAAAACGTTAATAGCAATATCGTGTCTGAGGAGTCTGCTAGCAACGATAATTCCGTAAAAAGTCTTGACGAAGAAGCACAGACAACCAATACATATATAGACGCTCCAGAAAGAGATGTTAGTGATGACCATGAAGGAGAGGTCATTGAGCATGAACCAACCAGCAACAGCAACAAATGTGCGGGAGACAGTGCACAAGATACGGTGGACAGCCACGATGAAACAGCCTCAGAGACATTAAATTCTGCGAGTGATCCCCAGGAAGCATCGGCTACAGAAGGGAAGGCTTATGAGAAACACAGGCGTGGCAGCGAGGACCCTGCCTCTTCAGATTCAGTAGAGATAGCTGACGCTGGAGAAGGTGATGCGGACCCAATCCTTGCTACCAACGAAGAAAAAGGCGATGAAGAGGTACAAGGTGCAACGCACCTTGACGAGAAAGACCTCGACAATGAAGATAGTGATTTAATGGAGCCTCATCATCTGAGGGATGAATGTCTTGGTGCAGAAGGAACAGCGGTACCAGACCAGGAGCAGCAGGCGAGTGAGGCCGAAGATGAGCCGGCGGTGGATCTGATTGCCGAGAAAGGGGAACGTGACGACGAAAACAAGTCTGGTGATGTCGAACAAAACGTCTCACAAGAAATAGCAGCAGAGAGCGCAAGGACGAAGTATATTGCAGATCAAGCTAATCAGACTGAGAGTGCCGGTGAACAAGACGAAGTAACGAAACATGCCAATGAACATAACAGCACGGAGCGAATGAAAGATTCCGAAACGAGTGCTGAACAAGGGAAACTGGCAATTGCTACAAACGGGCAGGAAGACAACGAGCCCGAGGTGCATGCCGAAGAAGATGGCGTAAGATCTGCACAGACACAAGATATTGCCGAAGAAATGGAGTCACCCGCTGCAGCTACGGACCGCGCTTCACCAACCACCGACGTGGACACGTCCCGTGCCGAAGACGACAGTGCGTTCGCCGATGGTACATGCACCAGCACTCCTTCGCCTGCCACGAGCAGGGCCGAGTTGACGTCACCGAAGGACCTCCTCCGAGAGGGCGAGAACATCGACGAAGGCATCCTAGCGGACGAGCCGCCCACGACCACGGTCTCCGAGAAAGACCCCGACGAAGACGGAGAAGGCGACGGCGTTGTCGACGCGACTTCTTCGAGCAGCGGCCGCGGTAGCCGCGCCACCGTTACCGAAGTACCGCTACCCGTCACGCAGAAACCGCAAATCCGTGGTATTCAACAGCCCCTCTCCAGGGCTTCGAGGAACGCGGAAGCTGCGAAAGCGCCAAAAATCAGGGCTCCCAAGGGCGTCAGCGTGCTGCCGTCGAAGTTCAAGCCGACGATGAGACGACATGACCGAAAGGAGCATCCCGCGATCGGCGGGACCGGAGGCGTGCGGAGAGTGCGATCCGACGGCGAGAACATCGACCAGGCGCCCGTGGTTGCATCCGGAACTGCGCTGACGACGCCCGAACAGCATCTGGACAATGCTGGCAGGCTGCTTGGCAGGCATAGCCACAGTGTAAACATGGAGGAGCAAGGACTCGTTGAGAGTAAGAGAGCCCCTTGGAAGCGCAGCTCGCACATCTTCGTTCAGGTCACACTCCCTCTCTCTTTATCACTGTCACCTGTCTGTCTCTCTCTTTTTTCACCGTCTCTTCCTTGTTGTATGTGAATGTTTGTGTGAGTGTCTTTACTTTACTGTGCACTTCGTTGATGGTCATCAATTGGCCGATGTACTAACTAGTTGATTCGTAAAGTATATTCACCATAAAGTAAGCTGTCGAGGCTGCCCTCACCTTTGTTGTCTGATAAAAAAAATTGAAGCAATAACACACTAGTTGAAACTTATAGGAGTAATATTCGGGCTATCTCATTGGTTTTAAAGATAGAATAATACCTTTATATTAGGAGACAGAAAGCTTTAGTCACCTGTAACCAGAAATACCACAGCTGAAATACATCTAAGTGTTTGGTGAAGAGTGCAAGCCCCCGCAGCAGCAATGCATGCGGACTTTACTTTGAATCAGATAAAGCAACTCTAAAGAATTTAAGTAATGTTAAACTGATACAAGCGAATAATCAAGCCACCGAATAGTGGCCGATAACTCTGATTCAGCCTTCCGCATTACATGAAAGTGAGAATAAAAAAAATAAACTCACTATTTCATGTTACCTAGATGAGGAATTTGATAGGATCTTCACAGGCAGCGATATACGCGATATGTTGACGAGCAAGCTCCAGATAGGCACCTTTTTATGGCATTGGCTGTTTTTTGCTTGCCTCCCCCGAATTCTTCGCAGTCGCAAGGCTACAAAAAAAGCTGGATGCTCTGCGGGAGGAACGACTCGCCTGCGAAGCCAAGAGAGAAGACCTGCTGCGACGAGCAAAGTTTCTCCAGGGCAAAGCTACGTCCACACGAGACCAAGGTGACAGCGAGAGAATTTGTGATCTGAGAACATTGTATTTTTTAAGTGCCACATGATGCTATATTTATCATAATATAGCCTCAAGAACTAAATGCAGGCACATATATAAGGGGGGGGGATACTGAGAGTGCCTTTCGAGATAAGAGTAGTACCAGTCGGCGTAGTTTCAAGCGAACTTACGCCAAACCTCATTTAACCAGTTTGGTGAGAAAATACGATCAAATAAACCTTGATCGAACAATCGCAGTCTACGAGGATAACACCTGGTGCGGCCTCATTGTGTCCAACATGTCAGACTTATTTCGATATTGAACATTATATGCTGAAGTGCAGCAAACTTAGTTTTGAATTGTTTTCTTTCAAGCACTAACACAAAGCCCCAGTTGTGTTCCCTCGTCAATGTCTTGCGGTGGCGCAGCTTCTTCGTTCCAAATCAGCATGTACCAATCAACCCAATTGAGGAGTTTAACACGATTCGTCCCATGACGGAGTGAACTATATGGTGTTTCTGCGTGGACACTGGATAATGAGGAAGGAGGTTTCACGGCTATTATTGAAGCTTTTAAGGACTACGAAACTCAAATGTGATTGGTGATTAACTACAGCGGAAACCTATCTGCGCTAAAGCTCGAATGTGAACAGTAATGAGTGACACTCTTAATTAGGTGCGGTTTGGGGGTGTGGCGAGCCGGCACAGTACCGTATGTGGTATAGCTAATGAGCGTGCGCATTGTTGCATTGCGCTGAGCGCTTACTCATCGTAGCCCACCCGCTCTTCGCTTTAGGAAAATTATCATCTTTTAACGTAACCTGAAGTGGTTCAACCAGGTAGGGCAGTCATTTGGTATCTCACAAGGCTAGATTCAACGGCAACATTAGCCTCCTTTATTATCAATAAAGTATAAAAATAACTTTATTTCAACATCAGCAGGAAGAAATGCAACACTGGTGAGGCTACACGGGGTTTGCAAAAAGCCTCCTGTGTCCAGCAAACCGTTATCTCCAATCGACGATAAAATTGACACACTACGGCAGTCTCATATAGGGAATTATCTTAATATGATGCATGGAATTCTTCGCTGATCACTGGTGCTCATTCATTGCCCCATTTTCAGAGTGAAGCCAGAATGACTCGCGATCTTTCAATTCTATCCTTGATTAATAAAGTCGTGTTCCTCAGAGAACGCCCCCCCCCCCCCCCCGGTGAGCATTTGTCATCTGAACGGTATTCTGTCTGCATTAACTGGGGACTATCATCATTTGTGCCTCTTTCTAGTGCCGTCTGTTGAAATTGTAATAAAAACTTTCAAATGGGGCCCCTCGTACTTTTGAACCCGATTCATCTCTCCATTTTTACTTCTTTCTCACTTCCGCCGTTTCCTACTGAAAACTCGGAAGCTGTCGGCAGCCGGCCTGATTCGAGCACACTTAGTTAATGGTCACAATCTTAGATGCAGAAAAGAAGGAATTGATGAATGGACAAAGGAACAAATAACGAGCGTTGAGCGTAAGATGATCTTTCTACAGGTTACAGAGAAATCTCAGGTCACGCTTCACGGTGCTTCGATAATGAACATTTGTATGCTGTGCGAGATCAATAAAGGAAAAGGAGGATGTCCTAACTCGATTGCAGTCTCCGGACAGTGACAGCGGCAAGTTGAAATGGGTAGCAAAATCGAGCGAAAATAAACTGTAAAAGGACTGAGCTGATGCGCAAAAGTGAGGACGGAGAATTCGCAGACACAAAGCAAAAAACAAATTTCTACAAATCGAACCAAAATTATCGAAAGTACGAAACGTCACTGCCTCCTTGCGTGTGTGTACGTGTCGTGCGCAGCCCGCGACATGTGGCGGCGTCGCTACGCCGAGGAGAAGAAGATCACGCCCAAGCTGGAGGAAGAGAGCGCCCGCTGGAGGCTCGAGTTGGAGCGACTGCACCGGGAGCTGCTCGCCAGGGTCGAAGGAGAGCTGCGCCTGACGGGATACCCGCGCTTCGAGCAACCCTCGAACAAGGTGAGACGGTGCGCAGTGATCTCCGAAGAAGAGTTTGGAGGACGCCCAAGCTTCGTCTTTAGCAGTGTAACGTGACAGCTGTATTGGGCTTACGACTCGCAACATATGTGATGTCCTAAACATCTGCACTAACAGGAGAGCCATGGCTGAGAACACGGGACATACAACAAGGTAAAAGGGTGGCAGAAACCTCCAATGCTAGAAGTTTATGCAGCCTGTTTGGATCGGTAGCTAGTGAAACGGCTAGTCGCAATAGGGTTCAACCATGCATCTATGCTTCACGTGTGCCCCTAGAGTCACTACACAGAAATGACGTATGACTGAAGAAGCATACGATACGTCTTTTTCAGTTGCCTCGTTGTTATTGTTTCTCCTGTAATAAAGTCGGTTTGCATCGACGTGATATAAAAAAAAAAACTAAACTATTGTGATTTCTCCCCGTCCATGCTTCGTCTCTGTTCTGCAATTCATTATGCTTTATAGGCAGGGTTTAGGGAAGGAATCCTGGAATCGCGAAGTACTCATCAGGCGCGCATACAAAAGTAAAACAGCAGTATCTTGACTTTTTTTGTTTTCTAGTAATGATGTTAAATATTTTGTGGCGTCGAATGTACTGCTCTTCCTGTCAGGATTATGTACAATATATTTATGTACACTCCACCTTATTTATGTGCATTCAACTTTAATGTGTAATGTGTGTATTCCCATATGTTTTGCGTTTCTAAGTGTTTTTGTGTATTTTGTGAATCGGTTTCTTAGTGCAGCTGGGAGAGAGAGAAAGACAGAGTCAGCGGATAACTCACACTACTTTTGTGCCCTGGAAGAACCTAAAGGGCTTTGCCGCACAAACACCCTTATTGAGGCAGAGCACGCTTTGCAAAAGACATACAAATTGCACAACGATAAAAGGGCATACAATCGATAGCGAAGACAAAAAATACGTTACTAGACAGAATTATAAAAAAAGCACAGTTGCGTAAACAAGACTGCAACATATATCATTTCTTCAGAGAATCACTGCCACGAACACAATGACCCAAGGGGCTACACGATGTAGCTAAATATTTATCATTACGAAATGCTTACAGAACATTCAAGCTCCAGGCGAGAGTATCTATAAAAATAAATAGGTATTTATCAGCAGCCGTCATGGTGAATTAGTGTAAGAAGGTGACATGTCTCGATTGAATCGCTACTTACCAACGGCTGCCAGATCGCAAAACGAGAGAGGTTTGGAATCTGCTGGCTGCCCTGGTCATCAGTACGAAATGTGTACTAGTCGATTAAAAAATACAGATCACATGAGGAACAAAAGTAGGCAGTAGCTCGACACTCTTTTTAACAGCAACATCTTTTTAATAGCGACAGCAACAACTAAAAAGTAAATCTTGAACAGTTACACGTGGCGCTCTATTTTTGTCGGAAGCTTGTCCTACAGGTAATACGAAAAACGGTGCCTTCATTGCCTTCTGAATAATAAAGTCATGGTAAGCATGCCCGCCTTACGTAAATGAGATGCAATACTGAATAACCAAGTGGCTAGTTGAATATTTACGTTTCGAGTAATCATAGCGTAAAAACGAACTACGGGCATTCACTTGCGCACCTCACAAGTGTAGAGTTTCAAGTGAGGCTGCATCGCACCGTGTTGATAATAAATACAGCCAATCAAGCGATAGAGTTTCCTTATTTAAAAGAAAAACTTTGTCAATTGCAAGTTTTCTGGGACACACCACTATGCTCTTTATTCGGAATTGTTAAACTTTCTTGACGTTATTTTTAACGACCTCGTCACGTGCGAAATACTATCGTAACAACAATTGTATGAAGAATTTCTAAAATGACCTTGTCTGACTCCAAAATTATTTCTTTTTCTTCAGCTGAGCTACAAAATAATGATCGCCAAAGTTCTACAAGAGATTGAAGACCTGAAGCGACGTCTGGAATACACCCGAATCTCGCTCGGGGCGGAAGTCAGGGTGCGTATTCTCACTGCTCTTCAACATGTGACAATACACAAACTGATGGAGCAGCGGAAACGGGTGAATATCTTTCGTGGCGTAACACCAACGCTCAGAAGGAGAGTTCACACAAATATATATATATATATATATATATATATATATATATATATATATATATATATATATATATATATATATATATATATATATATATATATATATATATATATATATATATATATATATATATAGTGGGAGCAATAATTCAATGGGCCAGTTAGTCTTCGTGAAGGTATGGGATATGGCTCAACGGGAGCGTTGTCAACAAGGATAAATATATTTATTTCCCAACGGTTTCGGGAGGAGTCCTCCCTTCATCAGGGGATGAGTTATCCCCTGATGAAGGGAGGACCCTTCCCGAAACTGTTGGGAAATAAATATATTTATCCTTGTTGACAACGCTCCCGTTGTGCCATATCCCATATATATATATATATATATATATATATATATATATATATATATATATATATATATATATATATATATATATATATATATATATATATATGTCGCCAACGTTTTTTTTTTGTTGCATGAATATGAGCGCATGGCCGTCGTTGTAGCAATCGAAGTGTTGCTCTGCTAGAAACGGGAGTGAAAGTTCCAATTCCCGGCATGGAAGGTGAAAACAGTGAGGAAGGAGCATTGCACAACGCGAAAAAAGGAATGAAAGAAAGGAAAGAAGGAATGAAGAGAGAAAAAAGAAGGAAAAGGAAAAGAAGAAAGAAAGAACTGAAGGAAGAAATAATACAGAAAAAATAATATTATTTTGTCGGGCAGAGACACAGCAAGTATCGTTTGCCATCATTTTTTTCTATTGGGCAACGGCTTCTGAATTGCTCTTTTGTTCTTGTTTTTTTTGTTCAGGGGGAATATTGAGTTATGTATATTGAAGTGCACATCGTTACTGCAGAAATATAGGGCACGTATTACGTCGTACTTTGGATACCACGGCGTCTAGAAACTTCGCAGGCAATCATAAAGCACACAGCACCTCGAGTGGCGGTGACGAAAGAGATCACCCCGATATATATGACCAGAGACACTAACTCTTGTTTCGAGGTGTTTGCGCTGCCACTCACTTTTTTTCGGAATCGATCAGTGTCCCAAGCAATGCAGCCCCAACAAATGTGGCCAGCCCGGGGATATATGCTCTACGCGAAGGATCGCTACCACTTGCGCAATGAACGATGTACTTTGGTAAATTACAACGGTTGGTCCGTACACGTGCTACGTGAATGAGAAAAAAAAACACTCCGGAAGATGCCGCACACTGTGGCAGTCGATGGTATGCGAAGCAACCATCGACGAGTTGCATAATGCACACTGTGACAGTCGACGGTATGCGAAGCAGCCATCGACGAGTAGCATAATGCTGCATCGTAAGACAGGCGTTACTATGCTGTTAGGGCGGACATGTGGACGTGTAGGTTTAGCATGATTCGAGGTAAAATGTGCGACGATGTCTACAAACATACTAGGTGAATCGACGTGCTTGTTGTGTTTGTTGGTGGTGTTGTTGTTGGAGGTGGGGTGGGGCTGGCCTGACATACATACTCACCAAAATGTTCCGACTATGTCTTTCATGCTTTTTTGCCAGCGGAGTGTGGTCACCAGTTTTTAAACACTCCCAAAAGTGAGTGCTTCAAAGAATCACTAGTAGTGCAAGAATGCAGTATGTCATTCCTTTAGAGATTATGAGAACGGCGTCTCTCATAATCATATAATGGTTTTGGGACGTTAAACGTCACACTTCATCATTCATTTAGGACGATTCACAAGACAACATGGCGTCTGTATGATCCACGCGCCCGTGTAAATTGGGTATTGTTGTGCGTGCGATCGGAGCTTAAAGGAAGCACATTGACGCCCGAACTCTGCTAGTAGTCGGTCGCAACATCTGGACTCATGTTTGAGTGCAGACATTCGTTTCCCCTGGCGAATGTGCGTGTTACAACACACTAACGTGCTCGTGACAAGTAGCGCTCTTTGGCGCATTAAGCCGGTGTCTATAAAGGTCTAAAAAACCTCGAACGTCTCATCGAATTGCGAAAACTGACCGTTGCCGTCATCAACACGAGTAATGAAAAGAAAAATCAGCATGTGATGACACCACCATACCACGTCACCTGACGTCACAGGCCACTAAAACATGACGTCTTGACGACGTCCCTGTGACGTAGCTTTACGTGTAATCCAAGTACATTGTCGCTTCGTCAAAGTGGGAACGTTATTATTCACAGAAACACGTATTATGCTTCGAGGAACCTCTCACTCATCCTTCAAAGTGCGTAGCAGCTTTCCGATCGAGAGTTTCGGAATTATTATTCTCGTCTATATTCCTTCCTGGTTAGTGACCTATATTATTGTTTTATGTGTGATACTTTGCTGATATTTTTAATGTGTTCGCCGTGGTGGAGCAGTGGTTAGAGTGCTTTGCTACCGATTCGAAAATTGAAGGTTCATATGCTGGCTGCTGCGATCGCATTTCCACGGAGGCGAAATGATCGAGACGTACGTGAACTGACTTTGCGATGTCAGTTCACGTACGTTAAGGAACACCAAATGGTCAACGTTTTCCGAGCCCTCCACTGCGGCGTCTTTAATAGTCGTATCGCGGTTTCGAGACGTGAAAACCTAGATAATAATACTAGTGGGTTCTTTAAAGTGGACACTAAAGATAAACAATACCTTCATTTAGATTGACATAATGTGCTCGGAGAAGTCTAATTTCACATTTTTCACTGTCGTAAGTTCATTACTAGTGAGTAAAATCAAAGTTGAAGTTTCACTTTTTTATAAAACTTTTGTTTTTTTTTTCAATTTCGCGCTCAAATCTTCGCGCGTGACGTAAGAACTTTCAAAATACAGCCGTCGGCGCGTTTAAAACGAACCCTCCGCCGCGTGTCCTGCAGCAGTTTGATTGACGCTGACACCACGTTCGTTTGGGTTCTGTTGCCAAGATGCTAATTATACATGCCGACATAATATCCAAGCATATACCGAGGTATTATCTCAGCAAAAGCGTCCAGTACTTCGCGGCTGGCATCAATCTAACAAGCCCTGGTCACACATCGAAGTGATAGTGTTAAAGGCGCTGACGGCTGTATTTTTTTGTATTTTTATTGCATTGGCTCCTTCCAAGTTTTTCGAAACTTCGTCTGTTATGTCTATGGAAACAACAGATTCAAATGTACTTCACTTTGATCGAATAGAAGCTACGTAGGACCTAGCACCCGTTTTAAAAAATTGATGACGTCACAATGTTTCGTGAGGGAATCCCAAGGTGCCGTTTCCACCCACATCTTCTTGTCATGAGTTTGCTTGCTTACAGAGCGTAGTGTCGTGGCGAGAAAGGCGTGCTCTGGAGATGGTGAAACTGTATACTTTAATAATACGCAAAGAATCGTTCCGCTCTTTAGTGCCCTTTTAGGTGAACACAGACGCAGCTTCTGAACCCCCCGTTGACATTCCGTAGAATTCCTACGATTTATTCGCTTTTTTTGCCGGTTTTCTCGTTTTCTTTTCAGCTACGAACGCATGCCGAGCGGGAGGTGAAGAACCTGCGGGAGGACCTGCTGAAGAAGAAGATCCAAGTCACCCTTACGAAGAAAGAAACTCAGTCCGTCATGGCGCCGTTTCTTAGAGACTCGTTCTATTTCGTCGGTCCCATTTAGAGAAAGAGAGCGAAATCAGATCCACCATTCTTTGAAGTATATAACAGGATCTAGGAGATTGAAAAAAAAAAACAGACAGAGGACGACTAGATGAAAAGGATATAAGCTACTGTAAGAAAGCGAGTTATAGCTAGAACGACTCGCTATATCACCGCACATTCTATTCCGACTATCTCTCTTTTTCTATTCCTAATATATTCTGTTCTAGTCTGCCGAGCAATCTCTTCATAAGTTGAATTTTTTAAGTTAAAATTATGAAAAAATTACATCCAGCTGATCTATATGACATGATGCCTAAAGAATCATATATTGTTTCGGTCCCATGCTGTGTCTCGTCTGTAGAAAAAAAAAGACAAAAAAGCAAGTCTTCACAATGGTTGGAGCTGCGACCTTGCGCTATATTCAAAGGCCAAACTCCCACGAAACCAAGAACAGAGTTCACAACAGCGTGTTGTGCAACGAGACGTAGAAGTCTTTTGGAAGCAGCATCGTTTGCGACCTATTTACTAGCGTCGCGAGATCGGTGTGCTCGGTATAGCCTGGAAGGCATCGCTTGTTGAGACGTTTACAGTTTCAATGTCTGTTATTGCACATAGGAACATAAACTTCGTAAATAAAACCCTAACACCGAGAATACAATCCACGAAATTCGAGTCTGCTTTAGAGTCAGCAAAGCATAGGCAAGTCATCTCGACGCACTTTGATGTTGTTTTTTTAGTTGTGCACATAAACGCTCTAGCTCATACCTGAAAGACGACGACTGATATGCGCTGAGAGCCTTAGAGTTCAATACAAGAATCACATTCGAAACTACAGCTCATTGGCCGTTCATATCTGAAAGAAAACATTGCCAGCTGGTCGTGCCTAGTCGAGTGCAAGTGCTCCTGATCAGTTCATGGTTGTTCAAGGTCTTTTTTTTTTGCTCTGCTGTTAATAATGTTATGTCCATTGAAAAATAAAGCTTCTTTGTGTTTGTATAGAAAAGCCTCTTTGGCTGTATACTTACATAAAAGCCTCTCAGTTTTTCACAGGAGGTTCAGGTTTATATTCTAGACTAGCAGACACAAACACCTATTTGCATTAGAAAAGGTACCACCCTAAGAACATAGGAGAGCTTGACGTAAAAGTAGTTGGTGAGCATGGTCAGCTGGCAATGAAAAGTTTTGACGTGGTAACGTTAAAGAGCTAGTTTCACAGATATTTCGGTGTCGCTGGCAGCTCCGTTGGTTGTGAGCGAAAAATTCTCATCTTGTGCGGGACGAAAACATGAGAAATATGCAAATAAAATGAATGAGAAAAAAAATTCTGGTGTGGATGGGTGTCGAACACGGGTCATTTGCGTAGCAACCGGGTGTTCTACCATATAACCACTTATCTGCTTAGAAATACAGTAAAGATAAGTTCCTCTGCTTGGAAATGCAGTGAGAGTAATTGTCACGCTTTATAAACGCACGCATCCTGTATACATGCTTCACAATGAGTCGAGTCGAGTCGAATTGAGTCGAGTCGACTCGACTCGACTCGACTTCGTACAATGATGAGTCGAGTCGAGTTGAATTGAATTGAGTTGAGTTGAGCCGAGTCGAGTCGAGACGAGTCGAGTTGAGTTGAGTTGAGTTAAATAAACTTTACTGGCCCACTAATTGCGCCCGGTGCTAGTCTGTAATGCAACACGTAATATCGCAGTAGTAATGTGTGGCGCATGCGTGCAAGGTACAACAACATGCGATTATCATGACTTCATGGTTAAAAGTGGGCCACCCGCTACAAAAAGCACACACGTTACTGCGCCTTTTCCCCCTAAGGCCACGTAGTAAAGGCTTAGCAAGTTCGAAAAACACACAATTACCCGTGGTTTAAAGCATGCTACTCATTACACAGAATGCAGTCGCATGCTAAGACTTCACTGACACAAGCTATTCTGAACTCAGCAGGCACGAGGAACAGGATATCGCTATCGGCTTCAACTTTTAAAGGTGAAGCTCAAGGATCCCCAATTTTTACTTTTTAGGTGAACTGTTCGCACCCTTGTCACGGTATACTTGGGATGTCTTTGCTAAACTTTTTAGCCTGAACTCTTCAGCAGCTATATTTTTTAAGAGAAATTAGAGCCATTTAAGGGATGAGTTACGATTTCCGATTACATTGTTTTCAGTTGATAGAGGCTACTGACGCAGTAATATAGGTAGCAGTCTTGGTCATGGACGAAAGAGAAGACAGAATAACAATCTTCTACCACTGGCAATATTTCCACGTGCGTCACGGAACATCGCGTGACAAGGTACCATTCATTGGGACCCGTCTTATCACAGTAGCGTAGCGGACGTTCGGGAGATGAGGGTGCGCGAGAAGAGGTGGGAGGGTGGGAGGCCGAACACAGGGCGCTTTGACGATGTGCGCGCGCGTTTTCGGAATAGAATGCATGCCCGGCCCCTTCCCTGCACTGACCTCGATTCTCGATTAGAACAATGGCGTGTAGCGGTGCCATTTCTCGTGCCGTACTTCCGAAAAAAGACTTATTCGAAACCCAAGAATGAATGCATGAAATGAAAAATGAAATGAATGCGTATAGGAAACACAGATGCGTCAGTGAGGGACGACACGCGACGTAACACTGAAGAATACACTGCAACGTTGATGAAGGAGAACATTCTTTGAAATGTGAAAACCGAGTACTGTCCACCAGCAATATGTATTTACTAGCAGCGAAGAACCTTTGACAATGATAATGTTAAGCCTGAAGTAAATTGAGGTCTGAGGGCTTCATCCCTGTGAGTGAAATTACAAATTTTGCAATACGAGATTTGTTTTATACATATATGCCAGACGCTTTTGTAATGTGCCTTTTCGTAGCAGTTCACAATGCGTATCCCGAAAATAATTTTGATGCCTTCTCCAAGAGCTTTATTACTGTTTATTTTAAAACATGGCAGGTTAGAATTCACAGTTAAACGTACATTGAGTGTGTGAATGCGTTCAAATATTTTTGTCAATATTTGCTGCAAGCGTTCAACATTGAAAACTGTGTCATGACATCCTCTGAACGACTGCACGGCAACTGCATATTACTTACCCAATTTTATTCGGCCAATATTCATCATCTACGAGTGGTAACAAGCAAGGGCAGAGAAAATGCATATAAGCTTCGTTAGCATATTGTCACGCATAAGCGACAGATCTCTTTATGAGATTTTACATGCAGTTGACATACAAAGAAATTTAAAAAATTTTTTTTTTCAACCCGTTGGATTGGTGGCTGTAGCTCCCGTACATAATAAAGATAGTCTTGTGCCACTATAACTTGCTGCGCTAGCAACCTGCGAAGCTTCTTTGTTAGTATTGCAATGCCTGCTGGGTAAAAACAGCAACAAGTACTGACAATGTATTGCATATCTTATCCATGAATGATATACCACATATTATTATGCCCACGCTGTTATTACGAACAAATTATGATTCGCACAATGAGTAGTTTATTTTGTATGGTTTGATTGATGTATAGTTAGATAACATAAAGTTTCGGCACGTATCACTGTCGCCTTGTCGGCTCCACAATCCACACAAACACGCAGAATGTACGCATAGCATTTGCCAGGCCCTTTACTTGGGCAGTACATCGATGCTGCCAAAATAAAGGGAATATTTTAATTCAAAATCGCTTTCCAGTTCAAGTTGCTGCGAATATTAAAATAATTATCTTGCATAGCTGATTAATAATGTGTTGTTCATTTTCATTTTACTTCAACAGGACTGGTATTTTAAAGCACTTTGAAAGCGTGAATTGAATATGTTCATTCTTGGGACTTCAAACACTAAAGTTCAGTGGGATAAGTCTCAAGTTTTAAGTTCACTGAAGGCCAGTCATGTTCTCGAACACAGCACAGTTTTGGTAAACGAGAACTCCCCTGACCCCGAAAGTTAACAGATCTAGGAATTCGAAGCGTCTCAACAATAAACTTATCAATAAACAATAAGTCTACTCCTGGATAACCAAAGAAAAGTTCACAACGTGTTTAGGAATTCTTGTCACTCGTAAAAGTAACGCGTGTGCTTGGATTCAGCAGTTACTAATTTCACGCGCGCTTTCCTTATACACAAAACAAAGTATATTGCTGAAGTAAGCAAGTCGAAAACATACTTCATTTTCTTCTAATCTAACGTGTATTGAAATTGAAATGCAAACTGACTTTTTTCTTACCGAAGCAAATACTTTGACTTCAAAAGCACGAATTCAGCTTCAGTTGGACACGATTAGGAAAAAAGGACGGCATTCGACACACAGAACTGTTTTGGTGGCTCGTGCGTATTTGAATAGGAACAGATCTAGCTGTAGCTTCTAAAGAACAGAACCAGTGGCGCATAATTTCGCGTTTTTTTGTTCTTGAATGCACTTTGTATTTTTAAAGAAATGTATTTCAATGAAAGCTATATGTAGCTATATTTCAAGTTATTATCCGAGAGTAATAATAAAACTGAGTTCTTTATTATACCGCTTACGTTGTTCTTGCACATCTCAGAACGTAGTGATGTATTCCCGTATTGACCGAGCTCTTTAGTACGATGGGCTATAGGCAAGTCTTACCTTCCTGGTGGCATGGCAGTGGCAAAAGGTAAATGTGAATCAAAATCACCCTTGCCCTTTTGAAAAGTTGGTGCGATTTCAAGCGTGTTGTTGCCGCATGCCACCGGAATGCTTCTTCGACATTGATGCATTCCGACCGCGAGTAAAAACGGTGGAACTTATATAAAGCCGTGGATCTCAGGTGAACAAAAGCTGTGTGTTTATCTTTGTACTCTTGCGTATTATTTATCCGCCGTGAAGATTGCCTTTACAATGGAGGCGAGCTAATAGACAGTTTTTCCTAATGTCGTCCATTAGTGTTGGTGGGGCCATTTACAATTTGTAAGTTCTTCACGGCTCATTCATTCAAGCGTACGTTCGGAAAATATTGAAGCCAATATTGAATATGGAAGATACGCCTTCATGCAAATGCTCCTTTTGTTTGTTAAAGCAGTTGAAGTTAAGCCATTATATACAAAAAGAACTCACACGCCTGTTTGTCTTTTAAGTTGAAGGTAAAACACAAAACGACAATACAAGTGAACCCTAAGCAGCGAAAATCAAAACACACACCGAAAGCTAATCACTTCCAAATCGGTACAAATTAGAAGTATGCATAATGTGCACAGCTAGTCCCTTTCAAGTGCCACCTATATCTTAAGAGTACGACCACTTAAAAAAAGTTATGCGTACCTACTTCTTTGAATGACAAAAGTACTAAACTGGAGGAAAACTTGGTTTCCTGCATTTTCGACAAACTTGAGATACTCCCTAAGGATACTGGCGCACTAAATAAAAAGCCTACCTAGTACAGTCACATATTAAATTCAAAGCATTTCTTTGCTTACTGTAACCACTTTTGCCATCTATCTGCGTATATATCTATCTAGCCGCTTACGTCTCGGTGCTCTCGTGGTAACCCTCTTAACTTGGCGTGAACCAAAATTAGTATGGGAGGGTAAGATGCTAAGACAAACTTGACGCCCTGGTCAACAGATGAATAATGTCACAACCTCGTCGCGTACGTCATCAAACACTCCCCGCCAGACAACGGCACACTCCCGCGAGTGGGTATGTGCCACTGGTATGCAGGTAGGTGCCACAGGTGACTGACACTTGGTATCGGCCCAGGAATGACGAGAACAAACATATAGCAGTTTTAATGCGTGAACGTTAATAAAAAGCTGGCATCAGCAGCATTGACCCGATGAAAGCAAACAATTGATGTCAGGGTCCGAGCAGGAATCGAACCCAAGCATTCTGCGTGGCAATCAAGCATTCTGTTGATAATTGCAGGGTTAAAATACGATTATATGCAGATGATTGTGCGTTGTATTCACTTATTGACACAGTTGAAGACCAAGTTAAGCTTAACACAGAAATTGAGAAACTCATGAAGTGGTGTAATTCTTGGCAGATGTGTGTAAACTATGAAAAAAGTGTGGCCATGTCGATAACAAATAAGAAGTGTCCCCTTGTTTACAATTACACAGCTGATGGAAATATCCTAAATCGAGTAACAGAGTACAAGTATCTAGGCTCGCATATATGTAGCGACCTCCACTAGGATCGACATATCAACTACATATCTAATAATGCAATGATGAAATTACATTTTTTGAGACGTTCTCTTCGCTATTCATCATACGACACCAAAATTCTGGCGTACAAATC